GTAGTCGTAATAGTAGTGGTGGTGGTAGCAAGAAGTGGTAGCAGTGGTAGTACAGGTTGTAGTGGAAGTAGTAGTGGTAGCAGCTGTAGCTGGAGGAGGAGGAGGAGGGGGAGGAGCAGGAAGGGGAGGAGGACACCTACATCCACGAGCCCAGTAACGTTTGACGTAGAAGTGAAATTCAGGGTTTTGATCGTTCGGGATTCTGAGGTTTGTCGAAGTAGTGCATGCTGTCGATAAGTCTTAAAGCCCATCAGAGAACCGTCGCAAAACTGTAGAACCCTGTTAAGAATCTTTCATTTTAATACAGCTCGCCGGGTTCGTCTTCATCCCACATACGTCGCTCCGAACTCCGACCAGCCAAGGTGCTGAGACACAGATAGCTGGATAGATAGATAGATAGATAGATAGATACAACGGTAAATTGGAAGATCGACAGATAATAGATAACGTCTCGAGGAGTCCAGCGTCACATGGCTAAATCGGGTTCAGTCTTAGGACCAAGAGCCTTGGATTTGTACGGTGAGCTGTGCGTCTCTAAGGTCCGGGGCCATACGTCCGAAGGGCTCAGACCGGTCATATTGCTCCTTCTGAACTAAAGTACGAGAAACCAGCATCGCCAAAAGTTACTTCAGCCTTTAAGGCGGTTTTAGGGGTTGTTTAAGGCAGATGGGTCGATGCGTAAACCCGGTAAACACGCCGAATTTCGGAGCCCTCAGGTGGTGTCGGCCCTAAGCAAGTGCCGGAAACCCGGAAAAGATGTTGGCTTACTGTGAGCCCTGGACCCTCTGCCGCGAAGCCAACCGGCTTCAAACCCCAAAGCATGTTAGCAAAATGCAATGTTGCAACACTCAGCCTACACCCAATCCTCTTCAGAAGAACTTTGATCACAAGAGTGCAAGAACAGAAGCTGATCGATCAAGGGCAGCCTCACTTTGACGGGCTGGCTTTCAATAGTTTCTGCCTACAGAGATTCAGGATCCCTTCGTCATTTTGATTGTCATTTTTGAACTCTGCCCAGGCTTGCATATCGCAGTAGAAGGGCCTTCGAAAAAGGATACGGGCATAGGATTTCTTATACCCGCTTGATTGAAGCCCATTTCCTGGGGGTACATGTTTAGCATTCTTTTGCCCTTTAGCTCTCCAAGACCCAAAGCCTGACCAAATCCCGAAGCCTATTCTGCACTGTTCGGGTGCCATGCCCCGCATATTGAAGCTTGCAAGACTATCCCTCCTGCGGCAAGTGCATCTGCTTACAAGGTCCCAAGTATGACCATTGGATTGGTGGAGGGTGTGCAGTCAGGTGTTGAGATTAAGGCTTCAGGGTTTAAGTTCCATAATTCAGTGGTTGGGGTTCGGGGATTCTGAGTTTCCTTTCAGGTGCTTTTTCGAATAGGTTAGGGTCCGCATGAGATAGCAAGGCTTTTGAGCCCTGAGGTTCTTGGAGAAATCGTGAGATTCTTGTTGATGGCTCAGGGTTCAGTCCTTAGGCTGGAACGACTTGGACGACCCCTTGCAAGAGGCGAAGGAGGCCGCGCGGCTGCTGGAGACGCTGCAGGACCTGTGGGTGATCTCATAAATTCCGTGACCCCAGCCCGAAGCTCGAGCGCTGTGTGAGTTTGAAAAAAGTCGAGCGTAGTCGAGTTCAGCACTTCGATCCTGAACCGCACCTTGCCTGAAGGGATATTAGGGCGAGGTTTGCGTTGTTTCTGGCACCGCCGCGCCACCCAAACCTCGGATTGTCTTTGCTCCCCCTGTGGACAGCTCGCAAATATTCGAGACCGCACACACACACACACACACA